CACTAAACTTCTAGAAATTCAGTTAAAATAGCAAAATTTAAATTTTGACCTATACTTTTAACAAAGTTCTAATAAGTTTAAGACGCCTCATTAGGAATTTTTTTTAATGTTATTAAAAGAGCAGAACGGTAAAAAAAATTGGATGGTAAAAAAAAGTTAAAAAGGAAATTTCATGGTAAATGTAGGCCTGATTTTAATTTTAATTGACTAAATCAAATTGTGTTATGATAAGATAGGGGAATTTTTTTTTCTTAAATACCTGTCTGTGATCAAAATTAAGCAAATTTTTTTAACTTCGAAATATTTTTTCAAAGTCAAATATGATACGTTTTCAAATTATTTTGAATCCAAATCAAACAAAACCATTAAATGCAATTTTTTTGAACTAAATCAATCAAGTAAAGTATCTTTTGACCCAAAAAAAATCAAGTGAAGTATCCAAAAACTAAGAATAAATATTTGTTAATAATCTTTTAATCCATATCAAATAAAAATTTTCGAGAAAAATACATTGAAATTTCACTATAAAATCATCCCTTACTAAAAGTATTAAAGTTCAAGTAATGAATCTGCAAAATTTCAAAAAACGAAAACGGTAGAAATAAGTAAAAATATTTTTTGTGATAAGTGTACATACATATAATTAGATGATTATACATATAGAAAAACAGTACAGTATTTAGGATTAAAGGAAAACATTTCTAATTAAATTTAGTTAAAATAATCAAAATCAAATCGAGGCCTACACGCCTTCCTCCAATTTTTCTTTTTAACTACATAAAGATATTGTGATCTATTAACAACATTTAAAAATTAATACTTCAGATTTTTGGCCTAATTAACAATGTGTTAAAAATATAGACTTAAATTTAGATTTTGCTGCTTCAATTAGATTTAATTGAGCTTTTCTCAATTAATTATTTAGTTTCTATATTTTTTATAAATAAATAGTTTAACTAATTTATCAAGATTAAAAAATCAGTGTAAATCTTATTTAATGACTTCATGTGGACCACGAATATTAATTAAAATTAAAATGTAGTTATGACATTAAATACGTATTGAATTTAAAGCCAATATATGATCTTGAGTCCTTGACAAAAGTCAATATGACTTCCTCCGTTCCTTTTCATTAAAAAAAAAAAATTTTTGACTAAATTATGTAGATGAAAAAACTTAATTAAAAATTGGTTAAAGATAATAAATATGTAATAACTGTGATTTTTTCCTCAAAAATATCCTTATTTATGAGGGGAAGAGAGTGTAGGAGAGGATAAAAAATTATTAAGATAAAAAAAATTATGGAAGAGAGAGAATTTGTGATGGAAAGAGATAGTGGTTTGAAAAATAAGATAATAAACATATTAAGTATTAAAATAAGTAATTAATCAGGACAAAATAGAAAACTAGTCAAGAAAAATTAAAACATCTTATAAATGTTATATAAATAAGAATAAGGCAAAAGTGGCAGTTGTTTCTTATAAAAAAAAAAGACAAAAGGAGAATATTTTATAATGAATTAATTGGTTTAATTGTATAAAAGGACAAAATAGAACAATAAATATTAAATGTTTTGGATATTTTGAATCTAAAATTATATTTTGAACTAAAGTAAACTCATATAAAAAGAGTTATATATAGAGAAGTAAAATTGAACTTTCTGTGCGGAATCAACTTACTTGATTGGTTCCTAGAATGAATAAAATTTAATAATTGTCAACTAAACATGCCCTTTTCAAAATGCAAATTTATTTTGAAAATTTTCATTCATGAACATTGGATATGTAAAGTTTTTTTGGTGTGTGTTAATTTGCTCTGACAGTTTAAAATCACAACAACACTACCCTCTATTATTAAAAATATTAACAGTTAAAATAACTATTTTAACAATCAATTTTTTTTAACAATAAGAAATAATATTGCTACTATTTTAAACTTTTAAAATAAATTTACACTAAAAAAAACTCTTAGACATCTAACACTTTTTAGTGAAACTTCTAGAGGTAAATTTGTACTTTCACCTATTTTTATTCCTATTTCATAATAAGGAATGAAGATGATGACACATTGACAGTTCGAACTAGTGAGAAAAAGGAGGAAAAGAGAAAGACGAGGAGTGTTTATGGATAAATAAATTTTACTTCTCTCTATTTTTCAATTAAATACACTGCTTCTATTTTAATTAAATAAAATTTTTTATATTTTTAAAACTTACATAAATATTTCTTGAGATTAAAAGTTGCATAACATAATATTTTTATTTTTTAAATTCTATTTTCGTCCATCTAACTATTAGTTGAATTCTTAAAGACCACAACCTCATGCTTAACAAAACCTCAAGGTATGAGGGAAAGTGAAGGGAGAGAAGGGGAGAAAAAATTTTAATGAACTCGGTTTAAAATATCAAAGAAGTGAAGTTAAAGACTTTTAACTAATTTTTCCTATTTTTTTATCTTACATTTTTTGTTTATCAAAATCTTATAATAATACCTATTTAATTTTTTTTAAATCTAGTTCATTAAAAATTTTCTCTCCCCCCTCCCCTCTAGTTTCTTCGTACCAAACATAAGAGAGGTCTTTTGGTTTCATTTGAGTTACAAGGCCACAACAATTAATAGTTCTTCATAAAGACGAATTCACAATCATGCGATGCAAAAAATGATACAATCCCTATCAACAACTAAAGGGCAGTTTGAGCTACAGGGTCCCGATAACTAATAATTGTTATTGTGACATTTGCTCATTTTTTCCCTCCATGTTATCTTTCCTTAATCCAAACAGGGGTGATAACATTACATGTTCAAGCTTTTTTCCCCTCTATTTTCTTTCCTCCTAATTTCCTCACCTCCAAACGTTTTTTTTCCGATCCAAGTGGAGTAGAGAATCTAAATAATAGTCATATTAATCATATGATTATTACAATAATTGTAACTTATTATTTTTCAAAGAACTAAGGTGTAAAAATACCCATCAACTTTTTTTAAAAGTACGCTTAATATCATATATTTTTCTTACAGCGCAAAAGTTCAAAATGAGTGCAAAAGTAACAAACCATTAAAATGAGATAATTGTCGTTACTTTTAGTGGGCCAGCCGAGTCAATTATTCTCAAAGTTGAGTCATCAAAGCCACTCCTCTCTGTTGATTTGATTCGTGGTTGTCGAAGAAGCAAGAGGGAGAGGTTGCGACATAGGAGCAGGCCATGCCGACATCAAACACGATGATAGGGTTCATGATGAAAGACAACACCTTTCTTTTTGGATTTGTTGTAATCCTCCTCTTAAGGCTTCGACTCACCGCAATCATCTGGCCGCATTTAGGTCATGGACGCACCACACTCTCACTCCTCACTCCAATCATCGTTAATGGTAGAATAAGACTCCGACCTTTGCTCATGTTCTTGGCTCTTGTCAGAGTTTGGAGATGAAGGGCATTTTTGGTAATAGGGTTTTTTCAGTTGAGGCATGTTGGTATTTTTGAAAAAGAATAGCATGAACCCCACCATAAAATTTATGGACTGTTGGACTATTTTAACTAGGGGTGTGCATGAAGCCCAAATGCCCGCTGAGCCCGCCCGAGCCAGAAGAAAAATTGCCCAGCCCAGCCTGAAAAAAAAGAGCCCAAAAAAGAATGGGCATCTTTAGGCTGGGCATTTCATGGGCAGGGCTGGGCATCGGGCAGGACATGCTGCCCTGCCCATTTGGCCCTGCCTAGATTATATATATTATAATTTATAAAATAATATTAATATATTACATTTCTTTATCTAAAAAAAAGTTATCTCCCTCCTCTTTGCAATTCAATTTATTATTATTACATGTCTATTAGTTTTTCATTTTAGGGGATCTAATTCTTCTAAAGAAACAGTAGTATCTTGTTTTTAACTTGTTCTTCGTGAGTTTTATTGTGTATATCCTATTGTATGTTGCTATTGTAGTGTTGGCTATTTATAAGTCAATCTTCCCCTCTATGCCATTAACAACTTTCTTTGTTAGAGAATGGAATTCATACATTACATATTTGTATAAATAAACAATTTTGAATATTTATGCAAGATAGAAAACGAGATTGGGGTAGGAGCATGGAAAGAAAATTGGGGTTTAATTATCTGAATTACATTTTTTTTTAGTTAATTTATATTTAGTTATTTTGTATTAATTTTTTATGAACAAGTCATATGATGGAAAGAAGTCTTTTAGTTGTATAGATTGCTAATTGCATTGTATCGCATAATAAGTATTTATATATTAAAAGTGGTTATATTAAATTATTATAAGATTATAAGATTTTTTATTTTTCTTTTTACAATTATTTTCACCCTATTTTTATATGGTCTATGTTATTCCTGTTAGCCCTTGCTCTTTTTGCAATCCTTTAGGTAACATTTAATTTTTGCCACTGAATGATAATCAAGTTTTATTACATCGTCATCCCCTCCTAATAATATCTCAATGTGTTTCAACCCCTCTTCAATTTTTTCAAATGTTTTATTCTTTTCTCAATTTCTGGAGATTAATGCAAACCGTTTGAATTTCAAGACTTTAATTATAATCTTGAGAGTTGTTTTGTTCTAAATGGATTATGAATATTATTTATTTGGATATTTGCCAAGACTTGTTTTGAATTATTTCTGGATAATTTTAATGTGTGAAAATGTAAAATTATGAAATGTAATTTTCAAGTATGGATGAAAGTTTTTTACATGTGATATTAACAGATCATTACCATTTGGGCAACCCAGCCCGCCCATGTCCAGTCCAAAATGGTTAGGGCTTCTATTGGCAGGCCGGGCAGCGGGCTGCAAAATGCAGCCCATTCATACTTCGGGCTGGGCATCGAGCAGGAGTCCAACCCTACCCATGTACACTGCTAATTTTAACAATGTTGTTATTTTTACTCACATTTTAAACTCACCAAAAAAATATATAATGTTATGCGCAATTTTGAAAAAAAAAATTTATAGGTATTTTTGCGACTTTATTATTTTTAAAATTATAAATAGATACATGGATTTTGATTTATTTATACCATAGATATAGACTGCAGACTCACAAGAAACATGTGGAGAAAGCCTATAGCAAAATTCTGTACCCTTGAACCTAACCCTACTGAAAATTAGGAATATGATTCTAATTGATATGTTAAAGACCTGATAATGTTAAAATAACAAAATATTAATATCAACCTTTACAAAAAGAATATGCCCACCAATGAAAAACCATGATAGATATGATTTAATTCACATGATCTTCCAATTCTTCTCTAGTGCAATGCAGATACGTCGAAGACAAGTCCCTGCACTCAAGGGATAACCAGAAACTGCAAAACCAATTAAAAGAGACATAAGAAACCAAATAACGAGCCTCACTTGTACAATAATAATGATGGTGATAACAGCCATAACAATAACAATTATGAATACAACAAAAATTCTAGTATGCACCCTATTGTCTGCATAAACAACTGTCAGTATTTCATCTATATGCTGCCTTTAACCCTACAGTTATAATCCTATCCATTATTTGTACTGAAAATATAAAGTAAACATTAAAAAAGGAAAATACAACAGAAAACTGCCAGAACGACACTACATGAGGTGAAAATACTTGAGCATGGTGGAGCGAAAAATATATGCCTTTGACATTGCCATTAATTATAAACACTAGAACAACAAAATAAAGAACATGATACTCAATCCACCTTCAAGTGGCAAAGGTCTCGGGCATTTTAATGAATTTGTTCAATACTTGGCATAATGTACCAGAAACAATAGCCACCATTTTTTTTCATCGATACATTTATGCAGGATTTGGCATTGCCAAGTTAAATTTGAACATCACTGGACCAAATTGGTAATAGTTTTTCCCATAATGATTTTCTTTATTCACAAAGCTTGAATTCTTGATTTTACTTAAGTAGAATTAAGTCCCTTCAACCAACTCAACTAACATTAGTAAAAATCCATCTTCTAATTGAATTAGTAATCATAATTTTTCCCGAAGAGGGTCTCTTCCAGCTGGAGTCCACCACACACAAGAAGGAACAAATTACAAATGTGACTCCAGCTGCAGCTAGCTAAGTTGTAATGCATTCATTATCCATATTTATACCATTCTACAAGAACTTCAGAGCTTCAGTAGCAAATTGCAGTAAGAAATTCAAGCTTAATATTTTTACAAGAAAACCGACATAAACCCATATTTAGCATGAATTCGAAATTAAAATTTATTCAAACCGAGATAACCCCATATTTAGCATGAATTTTAAATCAAAATTTATTCAATCTCATTGAAGAACAACCTGATATCAGATCATCCACATAGTCAGCTTCAATTTTTCCATGAGCCATTGCACCCACCTGAATAATAGTTATTACACAAATCCATTAGTAAAACAGGAGAGTGAAATTCATGCTGCAAATGTAGACGAAGACTCCATCAAGCTAACCACAAAAACAAAGTTCTCGTGATGGGCAGCATTACTGATGTAGCCCCTCAACTGAGCAGTCTTTGATGAACTAAAGGAAAGGCCTCCAACAGCACAAGAGGCAAACAAAATTTAGAAGTCCACAATAAAAAATATTCACAAGCATCAATTTTATAAGAGAACCTAACAACAAACACCTTAAAAGACTTAAAATGTCTGTATACTCTTCATACTATTGAGACTAAACATTGATATTTTACTGTTGCCTGTTTGTCACACTCACCTATTTTGTGGGAGTTGATTGGTAAATGTTTAGTGACAGGATTTTTAATTACACGCAATAGGGTTGCATGGTTGCTCTTTGCTTTGATACGGAACTTCTGTAATAACTCCACTACATGTATTGCGGAAAAAAGTTGAAATCAGGGCGTGAAAATGATTGCAGTAACTGAGAATGAGGATGTAGTAATATATTTCATAGTGGAAAAACTTACCCATCATGTCACAAAAGCCCGCCAATGTTTTTGGTATATTAGCATGCGGAGAAACTTTAACGAGAACGCCTTCACTGGTTCGAATAAATACAGCACGTAACCTACCAGCCATGCGAAGCCGACTACTCATAATTTGAAGGAGGGCCTGAATTCAATGGACATTGCATACTGATGAAGAAAAAAGATAGCTTTCCACATTGGAGGATGATCTATGAACATTTTCAATCAAAAAAGACAGGCTAAAGAATCCTCCTAACGGAATCTACGGAGCATGAAAACTAAGATAAGACCCCAAAAAAAAAAAAAAACACATTAATAGAACATTGAAACCTATGTTCCACAATCATGAAATTTGTGAACGCACTCAATATAATCAACCAAAGCAAGGGAATGTACTCGACTGCAAGAATAACATGCTAGAAACTCATAATTTAAACCACTTCATATTTGGCAACTTTGAATAACTTAATCATTTTGCCGTACAGGATTACTGACCTCATGAACAATATCAGGCCTGAAATCATAAGGATTCTTATTTTGCTTCCGCAGAAAAGTGGCATGATCATCCGGATTCAAAATCTGGTATTTCTGAAAGAAGATATAAAATGTTTAAAAATAAAAATCCATTTATATGGCCAACAAAAAATCCAGGTATATGGATAATCATTCAGCAAGACACAATGCATTATTCTCATTCTTTTTCCCTTCAGAGAGTTTAAGAATAAATAAAGATATCTAACACAAATACAAAGTAAGGCAAAAGTTTGGGGGAAAACAAATTTAGTTCTTATAAATATATATTAAAAAAAAAGACGCCAAATAATAACTTTCAACTGCTTGTTATTTTTATTCACAGCGTGAACATATAACTTTTTTTTTTTTGGCGATTACCTTTTTTCTGTAATTTTTACAATATCATTGATTCAATTTCTGAGACTAAATTTCTCCAGCTATTTTAAGGGGCACCCGCCACTAGTTAGATTGGAGCCTGTTTCATGGGAAAGCTTTCTCCATAGAAGTTTTTCACTTTATAGCAAAAGGATTTTCTTTCATTGTTTCCCTTTCATCAAATAACTTTTCCACGTACCAAACTTACACTTAGGTGAAAATTTTTGTTTAGGTATTGCATGAAGATCTAAAATCATGGGAAAATGGGGGGGGGGGGGGGACAACTTTGCAAAAGTTTTTGCCTCAGTTTTATAGGACTCTTTCTGATAAGAGGAAATCTATGTTTGCTAATACCAAGATAATCGAAGTAAATACCTTCCCAACATTAGCAACACAAAGTGAGGCTCCCTCGAGAATAAAATAAACTCCAGCTTCAGAGCTTTGGGAGCGAGGTGCAGGTTGAATTCCTGAAAGTTCTTCAACTGCACCATCATTATGTTCTTCATTCCCTGTTGATTGATCGTTTCCCGGAACCATGGTCTACAATACAGATTTGAAGAAATATATATATTCATTGACGAAAGAGTTGAATAAATATTTATCGAAGAATAAAACAGTGAGGGGAAGAAAAGTAAGAAGAAATAGGCATTAAATATTACGCAAGAGTATAAAATTGTACGAATTTCTAGCCGAGTATGAAATTATCGAAAATAATGCACAAACATGCTGCCGTTTCACAATTTAACCACAAGTCGAAGCACAAGGATTAAACCCACGAAATTCAGCAAGTTTCAAATTTTACGTACAAATATTGATACATAATTTCCTTCTTTATAAAGACTAAAGTGGCGCAAAAAATTAGTAAGACCCGAAATAAACAAACAATATTTTTTTAAAACAATAACCTTCACAATCAATGGGCGAAACTAATTTAATCAGACACTCACCTGAATGAAGGACAGAATCTGCAAAATGTTAATCAAAGCTGAAGAGAACGAACTCAGAGACGACGAGAACCAAGATGAGAACGAATGAGACTACGGCAGAGATCAACAACGACGGAGAAGGAGGCGGCGGCGGCAGAGAGAATCCTCGCGATGCTGAAGGAGGCTAGGTGAAATAAAAGCAGTAAATTTGCTCTTTTCAATGCGGATTTTCCACAATTTTCCCGATTCTTTGAAAAGTTCCCTAATAAAAATTAAAATTGGTTGGATATATGAACAAGCATTAAAAAAAAACGGAAAAATCATAAAAACAGACCGTAAAAATTAAGAAATTGTAAATTAAGTATCTTGTTAAATTTTGTTGTCATATGATATTTAATTGTGTTAAAACCTATGCAATACAAATCTTGTAACGGGTATGATTTATGATTTTATAATTTTTATATTTTTTGTGATTTTCCCAGAAAAAAAATTACTCAACAGATTTTTCTTGTACAAAAAATAATTAACATTTTGAAAATATTTATAACATTACTAAAAGCTCTATTTATTAACATTACTAAAAGCATTACTATATATCGATTACATATCGAATTTCTTGTAACTCCAAATTTAGTAAATAATATCTACTATCTACTCAAACATATCAAATTAATCAAATCTTTTCTATCCAATTCATGGTTAATTGGCAAGTTAACTATATAGAATTTTGAATACTTTCTAATGAAAATATATTTCCGATAAACTGAAAAAAAAAATATTTCCCATCGCTATATGATATTAACTTGGAACTTAATTGGCAATTTTGTCAAATACATATTGACGATAATTATTTAAAGAGAAAATTGGTAAAAATTTCTTGTTCCGAAAATTTTATTAATCAAGATTATCTGATATGTTTTCATACACAAAAAATTACTGATACTTCAATTTAATTCATTCGTATCAATAAAATTTTTAAATATGAACATTTCATCAATTTTTTTCTTATTTAACATTGAATTTGAATGCTTATATGTTGACATTTTTGTGATTATTAATTTTTGAATTTTTGGCCAAAATGATCAAGTGCTTCAATGTTGGGTCATACCTTCGGCGGTCTGTTGTAACATCTCTTCTTTCAAGAGCAATAGAGACCAAAAAGGTGTCATTAGCAACTTCATGATTGAAAATAGGGTTAAGAAATCAACCTTAAAAGTTTACTTTCTTGAATTACTATTTGTATAGTAACCTCAAAAATTTTGACAACTTTTGAAACTTTATAACTAAATATAAAAAAATCGAAACGAGATGGTTTCAATCTTTATTTAAAGCTTTTTAAATGTTTTGTAAGGAAAAAATATCACTAAATCTTGAACTTCATCAAGTGTTCTCAATTTTAGTCTACATTTTACTATTCATATAGTTAGATAGTAATTTTCAGTTTTTTTTAATCTTAACTTCAAAAGCTTATAACTATTAGTACGCATATCTAAAAAGGATTATTTACCACACTCTCTTTAAAACCTAGGATATGTACTTTAAACTCATCAAATATCACATGCAGATTCATTCTCTATCCCTATCAAACTATAGTCATCGTTTTGTAGCTAGAGTCGGGAAAACGGGCCGAGCCTATCAGGCCTGCCTGTTTAGACCCTGAAATTATGAGGGCTGGGCTTGATATTTTTCTTTTCAAATGGGAAATAAGCCCTGGAGGGCTGGTCCTGAAGGGCTGAGGGCTTAAAAGGGCCAGTCCTAGAGGGCCGCGGGCCGGCCCTTTTAAGCCATTTTATAATTTTTTTGTTTTTTAAATTTTTTATATAATTCTAATATTATTAATTTTTTATATTGTTAACAATATTTCAAATATTTAGTTATTATTATCATTTTAAAATTAAATTTAGTGTTAGACAATAATTTATCCCATTAAATTTTTAAAAAATGGGTTAATTTGGACTTTAATAATGATTTGATTTATATTATATGCGTTAGTATTTTTAAACTATATATATATTTGATAATAGAGTATTTTTATACTTATATAACTTGTAATTCTACAATTTGAATTAGAAATTCATGAGTTTCAACAACAATGTTTCTCACATTAAAGTAAAATAATAGCTAGATTGTACAATTTAAAAGTAAAATTCCTATAAAGAAGAAAAACTTGATATTTTTGTTACGAAAGAAAAGCATACTTATGAAGAAGAGTGATTAATTATAGTGATAATAAAGTTTCAAAAGACTAATGATAGCGTTTATTTATTGCACAATTGCACTACAAATAAAACTTTTGGATATTGTTATATTGTTAATGAATGTTTTAGATGTTCTTGAATGTTGATGGATATTTATCTATGATGATATTTTATATTTGTGACTTAATTTTATTCATATTTATGTCTTTTTTTTTAATAATTTCATTGGTTTATTTTTATTTTTTTAAAAGTTATGATAAATATAAAAAGGGTTAATATAAATTTTGGTCCCTCAAATTTGGAGCCATTTTGGTATTGGTCCCTGAAATTTAAAACTGATGGTATTGGTCCCTCAAATTATATTTGTTTCTGGCCATTGGTCCCTGATAGCTTTAGGCTGTCAAATTCATCTGAGTTGGCACTAACTTTGTCAACCTATGATGTGGCATCTAACTTGACAACTAAAGCTTGATGATGTGGCATGAGCAATGGAAGGTTGTGATCGAAGAGACCCTATGCAATCTGGGATTCACTTTTGTCAAAACACAAAGCTTCTGCTCCTATATTAGTGTGGAGGAAACGCAGTGCTTTCTCAGCTAAACCTTCTACCTCCTCTGCTACCTTTAATTTGGCCAAAAAGGGTGACTTAACAATTCATGAGAAAAAGAACCCGATTTTAGATACAAAACTACCCCCATTGAAGTCATCTTCTTCTGATACAGACGATGATGAATCTCCCAAGAAAAAAGAGAACCCCATCACCAAAGTGAGAAGCCTGAGAAGAAGCAACAAGAACCTCACCAGCAACTCCAACAAGAAGGCAGGAACAACCAGCAAGCCACTAGAGCCGCCGAAACTAGATAAGAGCAAAGCAGAGGGTTCTATAGGAACAGATAAAAAGAGGAGGGCCTAAAGCTATCAGGGACCAATGATCGGAAACATATATAATTTGAGGGACCAATACCATCAATTTTAAATTTTAGGGACCAATACCAAAATGGCTTTAAATTTGAGGGACCAAAATTTATATTAACCCATATAAAAAATAGTATTTTTCTCAAACGGGCCAAAAGCCCGCGGGCCGGCCCTAAGCCTTGTAACTTAAGGGCCGGCCTAGTAAATTGGGATATTTTTAAAACTTCAGTCCTGGAGGGTCGACCCATTTAAGCCCGCCAGCCCTTTGATTCCCACCTCTATTTGTAGCTCAAGAGGCAATATCTCATCTCAAAATAAACATATATCTAGAAATGTAGCTAATTGAACATGTAATCAAACATGCTTCCATACATTACTAAGATCAACATATAATATAAAGTCATATCACCATAAATGGCTTCGCTTAATTTACAACTATTTTTCAAAGATGCTCTCAAGGGATAATATGGTAATAAACATGTTTACATAACCTAATAACTTAATTCTTCATCACATCTCCACAACTTTTTCCTTGCCTTTAAATGGTCCAGTCCCTAATTTGTAACATGATAAATAAGATGGGAATGACATTCCAAAGAAATCTTAGTAATAAAAAATACCAAAAATAATATTATCAATGCAAGGTTATCAAGTGGATAAATACAATGTAATGGAAAAGGGAGCATAGTATTTTCATATATCATGACAAATGCATATTGCCAATGCATAATAAAGCAAGAAGTTTAAAATATAAACATCATCAAAAGCTCAACCACAATCATGGCGTGAAATCATAACATAGCAACTAAATTAACATTAAAGTTGAGTATTCTTGCTACTTTTTTACCCAAATTAGGTCCTTGGTTTCTTCCACTTGAGCTTGGAACTTCCCTTGACAACTATCAAATCCTAACAATCACATAATAGAAGCATTTTAAGTACTAATTCATATATTCACAAATAAACTCCCTTAAAACCCTTAACCTTCAAACTTGAGTTTTAGGATTTTTGTTCCATCTTTTATAAATTTATTTCTACATGCCATTCTTACATACTTTTGGATATTAAATGTAAACACCTCTTTTAGTAAGGATTCGAGTATTAGTTCATCATGTTACGAGAAATTAGCTCATTTTGCTAAACTCAGTCCTTGTTGGTAGTTGCAGTTTCTTATCATTTGCTCAACATGTTACTTTCTTAATTGTAAGGAAAGTCTGTGGTTTAACTCCTTCAATAAAATTTCTTGTTTCTCTATTATGAAGATTTAGAATTTCTCCCCGTAGGTTGCATTAACGTTAATATTATAATGTTAAATTTCATAAATTGTATAACATTTGTTTCTTTATTAAAATGAGAAGGATATGAAAGAACTAAAACAATCAATAAAAGATTCCAATGGGGCGACGAATATAATTTGATATACAAAGAGCAACGGAATTTATATACTATTAAAAATTTTACAAAAAAAATTAAATGTTAGATATAAATAAATATTCTTTGTCGTATATGTTTCCAAGTTGATGGTACGTGCTTTCTCTGCTGCCCTGGTCACATCCAAATTTTACTTATGAAAAGGTTCGTTTTGATTAAGTTGTATCTAATACTCTAAATATTTTGTTTGTAACACTCAATAATCTAAAGTAATTTTTTAGTGTAATTTTGCCTAATATTTTTCTAGCATCAATAAGTACTCTAGACTTAGGTTTAAAGATATTGAGTACCTCTAGAAAAATACTAATGCCGGATGTATCAAAAATTGCTTTAATATGCCAGATGCTACTAAAAAAAATACTTTAAAGTATTAAATATATTAAAAATTAGTTTATGATATTTACTGTTATTAGAAAAATATTTTAAGATACTGAATGTTATTTATCCCCTTTTTTTTCAAAAGAAGCTTGACTTTTTTTTTTTTTGCCAGAGAAAACAAAAACTCTTTGCTCCGCTTATGGGAATTGCTTGACCATGTAAAGTTTTTTTTGCTTTTTGCCAAAGCCTGGCCATGTAAATTCAATGGTTGATTTCTTCTCACGCTTCTCATGCCTTATCATAAGCAGATCATTGTCGGACTAGTATATGGTATTAGTATCACATAGGGAAAATGACAAATAAAGACCCCTAATTAATATGTGAAATTGCTATTTGGGTTCCTCAATATGGAAAATGGCTTCAGAAAACTCGGTTTTATATTACAAATATGAAATCATAGTGAAATATCTAAAATGTTCCTCATCTATTTGAAAAAGAAAATGCTGTCCACACGCTCTCTGTCCCCCAGTTTCGATAACTTCCCTTTAGTCTCTCCACTCTCCATTCTCTATACTCTGTCCATTTTCGCGTAGGAGGTTGCTTCATTTTGCAGTAACAGTATTAGCGAGAGGAATATTATGTGAGAAAAGTGTGTATTTGCTATGGGAGAGGTGAACGGAGTAGTGATCTTGAAGGGAATTGAAAGACGACACGCAGCGGAAATCAACTTAAAAATTTTAAAACTTTCAATCCCTTGCCCGGATCTACCGATCGCGTTTAAATCAGGTAGTAAGAAGTATTACCTTCGGTGTTCGATTTCCTGGTGGCTCGGTGATTCTGCCGTTCAGGATGCCTCTGCTCGCCTCTTTTGTCGTTCGAAGTCGACAACTCCGGTCGGCTTCCTCTACCGGTATCCACACGAATAGCTCTCCGGTTACAAACGGCTTGCTAGCGCCCTTTTTGTCCGTCTAGGGTTTTCAGAGAATCCGTCCACTCTTATCTCTCTTAGGCCGTCTCTTATTTGTTGGTACTCTCACCCTTAAAACCCTAGCTCCTCATATCAAATATATAGGATGCTATAGGTTTAATGAATAATATTTAATTTCGAAATTAATTCTAAATTAATTCCGAAATTAATACAATATCAAATATTGCCTAATCAGATAAGAGAACAATTAAATAAATATGGTTTAAATTAAATCCGTCTCACAGATTTAATTCACCTATTTATTTAATAAAGATATGACGGAATTAATTTATATATATTTAATTTATCCTTATAAATTAAATCTAACAATTAATATCTCTTATATCTATATAATATATATATACACGAATTTATATATATATATATACACGTCCACCCTATATTATTCATTGAATCTGGACATATCTTAGATTCAATGAATTTGGACATCATCACTCGTGTTGGGCTATTTTGTGTGCGACCCTATAGGCCCATATAAAGTTGGCAGTGGGCCATTAACTATAATGACTCACAAGTCGTAAGTGGTCTCTAGCAAGACATCACGACTACCCAAATCATATGAGAATCGTTGAACGATGTAACCTTTCATACAACCATATCACGTCCCTTTTGTCACATGACATTTTGGTCATGGATGAGGCATGGAGAACGTCATCTTCCTATTCATGACCGTTACTTTCTCGATCCCTGAGTAGTCTGAGTATAGAAACGGAACTACCTTTCCATTATAGTATGGCCATACATTTCTCAGACTCACTCATCGAGGGGCCCAGTAATGTCTCTCCATGAATGTGAGGGACAAATTCCATCTTGACCATTCACATTCCTCCGCATGAAAAAAAAACACTAAGCCTGAACATAGTCTTTATGATCACTCGGTCAAAAGTGACTTTTGACTAGGTCAAAGCTAAGCGTTTCTCATGTAGGAATCCATGATGATCTCAGGTCAAAGGGCACAATGACATGGTTTGTATATGAGAGAAGCTTATGACTTAACCCATGCAGCTCTCTCATAGCGGGTCGGTCCAACACCTTGTACTCTTACAGTGCCTATGACTTTAATTTATATCTCTATATATCTTTAAAGTCATACTGGTCTTATTTCATCTCTGCTCCCACATAAATGACCGACCAAGGACATTTAGGATAAACCATGAGTTATCCAAGGATAGTTATCACAGTAAACATGCAAATAATATGATAACGTAATTAATAAATTCATAAATCTACAATGTTCATAGCAATATGATTGGCCCCTAGGGCACAATTTCCAACAGATCTATCGGCATTGTCGAAGATAGGGGAGGAGGTAGAGGCATAATTACACATTCAATGGCCGTCATTGAATGTTGTGAAAAACTGGGTGCTATCAAAGAATTCTGAAAATTGTCATTTGAGAAGAGAAATGTAAATTTGTATGAATAGCTTATCCGAAGTTGGTATTTGCCTTACTAAAATTGCCATTCGTACCTTACTAAAGTTGGAATGCAATGCTTATCAGAACTTGTTGCTATCAAAGAATTTTGAAAATTGTCATTTGAGAAGAGAAATTTAAATTTGTATGAATAACTTATCAGAATTTATCATTGGCCTTGCTTAACTTGTCATTGGCCTAATTGAACATGTCATGAATCCTATATCTGAAGTGTTTGTTGTCAAAGAAGTGCTTACTACAGATGATATGAAGTTATCATTCAACTTACTAAAGTTGTCATTGGCCTTACTGAAGTTCTCATTCGTCTAGGAATTGTGGAAATTATCGTTTTAACGCACAAACTTAAATTCCTATCAAATGCTTATCGGAACTTTTTGCTTGTGTTACTAAACTTGTCATTGACCTGACAATTGTGGAAATTGTCATTTGAAATGTAAGCACTGTTATAGCATCAATCCAACCATATCATAATCATTACATAATTTTAAATTATGTTAAGTAAGGCCAATGACAAGTTAAATAAGATTTTCATACAATTTTAAATTTCTTTGTTGAAATGAAAATTTACAAGTTTCTTTAACAGCAAGAACTTCTGATATAGCATTCGTGACAAGTTCAGTTAGGCCAATGATAAGTTAAGTAAGGCCAATGACATTTTCCGATAAGGTTTTCATATAATTTTAAATTTTTCTGTTGAAATGAGGATTTGCAGATTTCTTTAATAGCAAGCACTTCTGATATAGGATTCATGACAAGTTCAGTTAGGCCAATGAAAAGTTAAGTAAAACCAATGACAAGTTCCGATAAGGCATTCATACAATTTTAAATTTCTCTGTTGAAATGAGAATTTGCAAATTTATTTAACAGCAAACACTTCTGATATAAGATTCATGACAAGTTCAGTTAGGCCAATAAAAAGTTAAGTAAGACTAATGACAAGTTCTGATAACGCATTCATACAATTTTAAATTTCTTTGTTGAAATGAGAATTTGCAAATTCTTTGGCAGCAAGCACTTTTGATATAAGACTCATGACAAGTTTAGTTAGGCCAATGATAAGTTAAGTAAGACTAATGACAAGTTCTGATAAGGCTTTCATACAATTTTAAATTTCTTTGTCGAAATGAGAATTTGCAAATTCTTTGATAGCAAGCACTTCTGATATAAGACTCATGACAAGTTCAGTTAGGCCAATAACAAGTTAAGTAAGGCCAATGACAAATTCTAATAAGCTATTCATACAAATTTAAATTTCTCTTTTCAAATAACAATTTCCAAAATTTTTTCATAGCAACCAGTTCTGATAAGCATTGCATTCTAACTTTAGTAAGGTGAATGACAATTTTAGTAAGGCGAATGTCAACTTCGGATAAGCTATTCATACAAATTTACATTTTTCTTTTCAAATGACAATTTCCAAAATTCTTTGACGGCAACCAGTTTTTCACAACATTTAATGATGGCCACCGAATGTGCGAGGATGCCTCTACCTCCTCTCTTGCCTTCAACAATGCCGATAGATCACTACTCGATCGCTACTTCGTTCACCTCTCCCACAGCAAATATACACTTCTCTCACACAATACTCCTCTCACCGATACTGTTATTACAAAATGGAAGTAACCTCCTGCACGAAAATGGACAAAGTGTAGAGAATGGAGAGAGTGGAGAGACTAGAGGGAAGTTATCAAGAGTGGGGGATAGAGAATGTGCGGACAGCATTTCTTTTTCCAACAATTGAGGGGTATTTCGGACATTTCACCATGATTTTAAATTTGCAATATAGGACCTAGTCTTCTGAAGCCATTTTCCATATTGAGGAATCCAAATAGCATTTTCACATATTAACAGGTCTTTATTTGCTCTTTTTCCTATTATATAATTTTTTTTTACCAGCAATATATTATATAATTAATTCAATATAATACTACTATATAAATGTAAAATAGGATTTGTTGTTTTACAATTCATGATGTTAGGACTAGTATCTGAAATAAACATTAATATATCAATATACTATATAATTCATATTAATATAATTAATATAACAGTAAAATAGGATTTGTTATTCTACTATTCATTATCAGGACTAGTAATTTAATTATCTTTTCTTAACGAGTATTCTGCTTTTTTAAATTCTGTACTTTTTTCTTTTTCTTTTTCCCAATTCCGGATCTGTTATAAGGACATAGAATCGAGGCTAGTTAATATAATTAATAAAGATAAAAAAAAAATTCTGCGAGTTAAGTCATTTATCTTATCTCATTTAAGATAAAAAAAATATTAAAATAAAGCATATTACTCGCTAAGATAGAAGAAAGAAAATTAAATTACTCGTCCTGATAATGAATAGCAAAATGACAAATCCTATTTCACTTTTTATGTATTATATTAATCATATAATTATATGATAATTATATTATAAAAAGAGTCTTATATTTAAAGTGGAAGTAATATATTAATATCATAAATAAAAAGGAAAAAAACTGCTGGAGAACAGAGGCCCGGCAGGGGAACCTATCTCAGCCGCATCTGAAAACGCCGCCTCTTGTGACGCTGTTGACCGCTCATAGCTGCGGCCATCCTACTTTACCGGCACGGTGGTTGTGGGAAGAATATCTTATATAAGCTGCGTTATTGTCTCTTGCTTATTTTTGGACATAGCAAGGCCTGTTGGAAAAGGGTGAGTATCCTCCTTCATCCTTCCATTTTCCTACTGCTTTTTCTCATGGTTGAAGCCTGATTATGTTACTTTTTCATTTTGAACGCGAAGGAGCTCTAAATTTGAGATTTTCTAGTTGGAGCTTAAAATTTACACTTTGCTACAAGCTCCTTAAATGGTAAAAGTGAGAGTGTTTTTTATGTAATTGAATGAGTTATTGCTTGTTGGTCTCTTGAAGATTGATTCCTATCACGATTATGGTTGGAGAGGAGTCTAATAAATAGCAGTGTATGGATATGCACAGCGAGCATCCGATTAAATGTTTGAAAGAGTAAATTGCAATTTGAGAAGTAGCCACTAATTATTGCAATTCTTACTTGCACATGATTAATGCGATGCTTTGGTTATTTACTAACTTGTAAGTATTAGGTTGATATCATCTACACATCATTAAAATTGCGAGATGGTACTTCCATTAAGAATTTCTAGCTCGGTATTAGGAGTTGACATGCGGAATCGGTTATTCACTTGACAACTAGTGAGATTAAGGAAATAGCATGATGATCTTTGCTAAATGGTAATGTGAAAGCTAAAATGAAATTCTCAGGAATGAGTGTTTTTTTGGAAGGAAAAGTTTGATTCTTAATGTAGTCATGTGGTTCTGTTGTGCTGTTTCTCGGAATGTAAGTTAGCTTCTAAATGATGATATTTGGCTGGGAATTTGGAGGTGCATTGGACTGGTTATGTTCTGTGGATTATAATTAAAATTGTTTCCATACTCATGCATGGATCAATTTATGGGCTATACAAGACCCAAGTCTTAAGGTTAATATGTAATTGCTGCTCTATGATGCTTAATTGTTCATGTACTTGGGTTATTCTGCAACTGTTAAATTGCTGGAAAATATGCTGATATTATATGGTTTCTGGTGTTACAATACAGGACTTTGATGAAAATTTGTGCGGCTAGTTTAATGGTTATGAGATGGAGAATTAATGGCCTATTGGTGAATGTTATTGTAATGTAGAGTGTTTAAAACAAATTGTGGTTTGAAATTTGTACTGCAAAGCTGTGTAATGTGGATCCTAACCATGGAGGACTTTCATGTTTTGCCATGATATTCATGGCAGCTTTATTTGCGGCTTTTTCATACTTTTAAATGGTTAAAAATTGATTTGAAATGATGATGTTTCTAAATTTTTTTTCCCATGTAGTTGATAGTTTAGTTTAAATATCTTCTTTTCAATTTTTCTTTTTTTGGTTGAGTCGAACTTTTTCCCCCTCTAATGTTTTAGTTTTCATTTCTTTTATCAACTGTCAACACCATTCAGTAGTACTCATAGCAGTTGTGGTTTGTTTCTCAATTCAGTTTATGCACGTATTAGACTGTGAGTGTGTCTAAAACCTTATAAAGTATGGCGCAATGTGGCTATTTGAATGCTTTTGTTGGAATGCCAAATTATTAAATTGTAACTTTTATTTGTGGATCAGGGTTTTGTTGAACAGAAGGCCAAATTATTATATTGTATTTTTTATTGGCTGATCAGGGGTTGATGAATACAAGAGTTTAGTTCTGGAAGATGCTGAAGAAGTGAATATTTTGTAGAATAGAAAGTTTCTTGGAAAGTTGTTAAATTTTGTACTGTTTATCTTGTTATGGATTAATAATTTCAAATTATCTTTCCTTGATTGATTTTATAAATGACAACTTCCCATAGGTTTTTGATGTTGACATGCGGAGTTCTTACTCTTCATACATCTCATGTTTTTTTTTTTTTCCTCAGTTAACTTTTGTTTTATTCTGTTTCAATTTTTTTATGTTTGGACCCATATATGTGTTAGTGGTATCTTTAATAAGCACAAATGGACAAAGTTTGGTACAGCAAGTGGACCCAACCAGCTCATGCATCTCTATGTTTCATCTTTTCTCCTGAGCTATGAAAATTCCAATCTTGTGCTTCAGAAATCAATATCTGTTTATGTGTACCTCTTTTGTTCCGGGAGTGGTTAGATTGAACTTTGGCTATACGTACAAAATATCTTGATGTCTGAATTATGTAGCGCAAAATTGCAATTTGTTTATATTCTTTCATTTGCTTCCTCTGAAAAATAGATTGATATATGATAGGTTCATTTACAATATTGTATAACTCATGAATATTTCTTGCATATGAATATGCAGGAGTTGTGAAAGTATAATTAGGATGGGGAGTGTTACTGAAGGAAAGCTGAATTTTTGTATTGATAGAGGGGGGACATTTACTGACGTTTACGCTGAAATCCCTGGTCAGTCTGATGGCCGAGTGTTGAAGCTCTTGTCTGTTGACCCATCAAATTATGATGATGCACCAGTAGAAGGGATCCGAAGGATTCTTGAAGAATTCACAGGGGAGAAAATTTCACGCAGTTCAAAAATACCTACTGAGAAGATAGAGTGGATAAGGATGGGTACAACTGTGGCAACAAATGCACTTTTAGAGCGTAAGGGAGAAAGGATTGCTGTGTGTGTTACTCAAGGTTTCCGAGATTTACTCCAGATTGGTAACCAGGCTCGCCCCAGCATATTTGACCTCACTGTATCAAGACCATCGAATCTGTATGAGGAGATTGTAGAGGTGGAAGAGAGAGTCCATTTGGTGCAAGATGATGAGGTAGAACATCAGGATAGTTCATCATTGATTAAAGGCATTTCTGGGGAGCTTGTAAAAATTGTGAAGCCTCTTAATGAGGAAGCACTGAAGCCAATGTTGAAAAGATTATTGGACAAAGGAATCTGTTGCTTGGCTGTTGTGTTGATTCATTCATACACTTTTCCGCAGCATGAACAACAGCTTGAGAAGTTAGCTTTGAGTCTGGGATTCAGACATGTTTCTATTTCATCTGCTTTGACTCCTATGGTTCGTGCTGTTCCCCGAGGTTTAACGGCAAGTGTAGATGCTTATTTGACCCCGGTTATTAAAGAGTACCTATCAGGGTTCTTGTCCAAATTTGATGAGGGACTAGAGAAGTTAAATGTTTTGTTTATGCAATCAGATGGTGGGCTTGCTCCTGAGAGTTCCTTTTCAGGGCATAAAGCTATTTTGTCTGGACCTGCTGGTGGTGTTGTCGGTTACTCACAAACTCTTTTTGGACTGGAAACAGATAAGCCGCTAATTGGATTTGATATGGGAGGTACATCTACTGATGTAAGTCGCTATGCTGGAAGTTATGAGCAAGTGCTGGAAACACAGATTGCTGGTGCCATAATACAAGCTCCTCAGCTTGACATAAACACTGTTGCTGCCGGTGGTGGTTCAAAGCTGAAGTTCCAATATGGAGCATTTCGAGTTGGACCAGAGTCAGTCGGGGCACACCCTGGTCCTGTGTGTTATGGGAAAGGTGGGGAGTTGGCAATTACTGATGCCAACTTGATTTTGGGATATGTTATTCCTGATTATTTTCCATCCATCTTTGGGCCAAATGAGGATCAACCTCTCAATGTCAAGTCTACAAGAGAAGAATTTGAGAAGCTTGCTGCACAAATAAATGCTTACCAAAAGAACCAGGATCCATCTGCAAAGTACATGACAGTGGAAGAGACAGCACTTGGTTTTGTGAACGTTGCTAATGAGACAATGTGTCGTCCAATAAGACAGCTGACTGAAATGAAGGGCCATGAGACTAAAAATCATGCACTTGCATGCTTTGGAGGTGCTGGACCTCAACATGCTTGTGCTATTGCTAGATCGTTGGGTATGAAAGAAGTGTTGATTCACAAATTTTGTGGAATCTTAAGTGCATATGGCATGGGGTTGGCAAATGTTGTGGAAGAGATGCAAGAGCCTTATTCTGCAGTCTATGGAGCTGAATCAATTGTTGAGGTTTCACAACGAGAAGCTGTATTGTTGAGGCAGGTAAAGCAGAAACTACAAAATCAAGGGTTTAAAGAGGAAAGAATTTCAATAGAGACATATGTAAACTTGAGATATGAAGGTACAGATACTGCTATCATGGTCAAAAGACAAATAACTGAAGAAGGAAAACCATTTGATTATGCAACTGAGTTTGTTAGGCTCTTTCAGAAGGAGTATGGCTTTAAACTCCTGAATAGAAAGATAATGATTTGTGATGTCCGAGTTTGTGGTACTGGAGTTACCAACATACTGAAGCCATGGGCCTTAGAACCTGCATCTGGTAGTCCCAGGGGTGATGGCTACTATAAGGTATACTTTGGAAATGGTTGGCAAGAAACTCCACTATATAAGCTTGAAAACCTGGGGTATGGCCATACAATGCTTGGCCCTGCCATCATTATGAATGGAAATAGCACCGTGATTGTAGAGCCCAACTGCAGGGCCATTATAACCAAATATGGCAATATCAAGATTGAAATTGATTCTTCTTTAAGAAGTGTTAAAATATCTGACAAGGTTGCAGATGTTGTACATCTCTCCATATTCAATCACAGATTTATGGGAATAGCTGAGCAGATGGGAAGAACACTGCAAAGAACTTCTATTTCAACAAATATCAAAGAACGGCTTGATTTCTCTTGTGCCCTCTTTGATCCTACTGGTGGCCTAGTTGCGAATGCTCCTCACGTCCCTGTGCATCTAGGAGCTATGTCTAGTACAGTTCGGTGGCAGCTCAACTATTGGGGTGACAATTTAAATGAAGGAGATGTTTTAGTTACTAATCATCCTTGTGCCGGAGGCAGTCATCTGCCTGACATAACCGTTGTCACTCCAGTTTTCTACTGTGGGAAGTTGGTTTTTTTTGTTGCAAATAGAGGACATCATGCCGAAATTGGGGGTATCACTCCTGGCAGCATGCCACCATTTTCAAAGTCCATATTAGAGGAGGGAACTGCCATAAAAGCATTTAAGCTGGTTGAAAAGGGGATTTTCCAAGAAGAAGGAATCATCAAACTCCTTGAGTTCCCAGGCACTGATGAGAGGGGAAATAAAATCTCAGGAACTCGAAGGATTCAGGATAACCTATCAGACTTGCGAGCTCAAGTAGCAGCAAATCAGAGAGGAATTTCCCTTCTTCAAGAGCTCATTGAACAGTATGGTTTGGAAACTGTTCAGGCATACATGAATTATGTACAGATGAATGCAGAAGAAGCAGTGAGAGAGATGCTCAAGACGGTGGGTAATAAGGTTTCGTCTATGTCGGATGAAAATTTTGTGACTGTTGTAGAAGAGGACTACATGGATGATGGATCTGTCATTCACTTGAAACTAAGCATTGATTTTAATAAAGGAGAAGCAACTTTTGATTTTGGTGGGACCAGCTCAGAAGTTTATGCTAACTGGAATGCACCAGAAGCTGTAACAGCTGCAGCAGTAATATACTGTCTTCGGTGTTTGGTAGATATTGACATTCCTCTCAATCAAGGTTGTTTGGCTCCTGTGAAGATTCTTATTCCCGAAGGCTCATTCCTTTCCCCAAGTGATGTGGCTGCTGTTGTAGGAGGTAATGTTCTGACATCTCAAAGGATAACCGATGTCATATTTTCTGCATTCCAGGCCTGCGCTTGTTCCCAAGGTTGTATGAATAATCTCACTTTTGGGGATAATACTTTCGGCTACTATGAAACCATTGGTGGTGGGAGTGGGGCTGGTCCCAGCTGGGATGGTGCTAGTGGAGTCCAATGTCACATGACAAACACAAGGATGACTGATCCGGAGATTTTTGAGCAAAGATATCCAGTAATTCTGCACAAGTTTGGACTAAGAGAAAACAGCGGAGGGGCAGGATTTCGTCGAGGTGGTGATGGGCTTGTAAGAGAAATAGGGTTTAGGCGTCCTGTTACTGTCAGCATTCTTTCCGAGCGACGTGTACATGCACCGAGAGGGCTGAAAGGAGGAAAAGATGGTGCTCGGGGGGCTAATTACCTTATAAAGAAAGATAAACGAAGGATTTATCTTGGCGGTAAGAACTCTATTGAGGCACAACCAGGTGATACTCTTCAGATATTGACTCCTGGTGGTGGTGGATGGGGTTCTCCGTCATAAAATCATTTTTAGTTTCTGTTGTAATAAATTGGATGTTCCATGATGATGTTAAACTGTGTTGCCACTTCGGCTTAGCAATGTAGGATGCTACCTCGTGCAAATGAATGAAGTTTGGGAAACCATGCTGTTATATGAACAAAGTTCATGATCAATTTGTCTTGTTAAAATAAGAGTTAAGTTGCATCTAGCATCCCAAAGTATTTTTCTGGTTACATCTAGCACCTTAAGGTATTTTGTGATGCATCCAGCATCCTGAGGTGATTTTTTAAGTGTGATCCACAATTTGAAATTTTTTTTTTGGTGCATCTAGCGCCCTAAAGTATTTTTTTAGGTGTTTTAATGTCCAAAAATAGTTTTTGGAACATCTAGCACCAAGGAGGGGAAAAAAAACTTTAGGATGCTAGATGTGTCTGAAAAATATCCAGCACCACAAAATACTTCGGGTGCTGAATGTATCTTAACTTTTATAATAATCTAGCAGCAATATACTTCTCTCGCATTTTAGTGTAGTTGTTAAATAAAGATGCTTTCTAAGTAGTGTGACTATTAATTGTTAAGGTTTCTATAATTTCTATATCTACTTTTACTGTAAATCATAGGAGCTGCTTTTACTTTCAAATTTCATTTGTGTATGAATTCGCTAAATCTTGTTTCTAATCCTCTAGAAAGAATGATGCTGCTGTTTACAATTTTAGAATTGAAATTTATCATGTAAAAGAGTTAATAATTAATTGATCTCTATTTATGGATATATATTTATAGGAGCAATCCCATTTTACATTGAAAGATTAGGCTATTATGGTTAAGTATATTATATCCAAGATGACAGTGTATTGAGCAAATTAGGGTGTTCTGCAGCGGCGGTGTCATGCTGAGGAAAAAGAGTAATGACCATTCGGTTGTGGAGATTTTTTTTTTTTGAAAAATAATGAACAAATATCAGCTGAGACAATTGTATCATTGTTTACTCTTATAAGCTACAATTCATCTGAAAATTTAATTCTCTTTTTTTGTTCTATTTTTACTCTCAATTTATTACATGCACTTCTCATTTCTTTTCTTCACTCATTTTTTTCATATATTTTCTTACCCCTCCTCTCATGCACAATCATAATCTTCATAAATAAAGGTATATTTTTAAAAAAAACTATACTTAAATGAGTATTTGTAAGCTGTAGTGTGTATAAAGGACTATCTACAACTCATTTTTCAGTTTTTTTCCTTATTCTTTTGACTATAAGTTCATTTTTCCCAATGTACTCATTTGGTTTCATTTATAAGGAGGGAAAGGAATTTTTATTTTTATTTTTTTTAATTGTGTAGACCTTATATTCTTGGCATAAAGCATATATTAACTAAAGGTAAAGTTAGAAAGTTATTAAATTTTAAAATAAAGCTAATGGGATTTAAGATCTTTCTTAGTTCGGGTTAAATGCTTAAAGTGACTTATAAATGATATTAGAGAAGTAGTTAATTATTAGGCATGTAGTTGATTTCTTTTGTTCATACATATTCTAATCCCCCTCTTTTGTTTTTTTTGGCAGAACCTTAACTACACATTCCTATGCATCAACTTTTACTCTTTTTTTTTTTTAAAGAAAAAATGGGAATGCTAGACTCTAGTCACTTCGATGCTAATAACTAACTATGTCTCCTAATTTCACTAAGAGATGGACTAAAAGATGATTTGATCAAACAAATTGGAACAAAAGTATAACTAAAATGGCAAAGAATAAAAGGGAAAAAAACTTTATAAAAAATTATATTACATACAAATTATGTATAATTTAGCTCATTTCTCATGTTACATAAATTATACGAAAAGAAACATATCAATATCAAAAACAACAACAACAATAATAAAAAGAATAGTAAGCTTGTTTAAAGGTAAAAAACTTTTGTGCAACATATGAAAAGAAAGTGAACTATGTGTGTTTGAGTTTAAAGCAAACTACTAGGGAAAAAAAAGCTTTAAATGACAGTTAAAATGAGATTTCTATGGCAATTTTGGAGGCGAAGTGAATTCCACCAACTTTGTAAGGAGAATAAAACACAGCGGTATTTTACTTAAAACGCTGTGGAGAGACAATTTTTAACCACGGTTATTAAAATAATCGCTGTTAAAAACTGCAATTTTTTTTAAAAAAATAGTGTCAATTTCCTTTACAAACCTCTCTACAATTTACAGACCCCAATACAACCAGCAGAACAAAAGAATATGCAAAACCATTTCAAGATGTTTATCCTGGCACTAATATCCAATTCTTATTCAATCACCAACACATTATAATCAACAACTACCCAACTAGTTAATAATTAAATAATGAACTAAATGTGATGAATGACTTAACTATTTCACATTTTCAAAATTCTCTAGCAATGTTGTTGACAAAGTATCCCTTATCAAGTTGATTTCCTCCATGTCATATGGCACACTATCTTGGAATGCCTATAAATTAAAAATAACATAGTCATTAGTCAACTTGATTAAAAATGTGAAAAGAATTAAAGAATTACATGCAATGTAACCTATATTTACTTTGTTTAATTTCTCAGTCACCCCTGTCTCAATGATGTCATTCATATAGCAAATGACATAATATCCGCATTCAACACTCCCAGATTAACAACAGTACTAACAAAATGAAATATAAAATTGAATATCTGACTTTGATTATCTAAAAAAAATTATAAACATTAACATTGATTATTGAAAAGATTTATAAGCATATATTTAGCTCAAAACAACATGCTTGTGGGAGAATCCATCTTGGTGGTTGCCTATTTTGCTGCTTGGCCAGAACATTAAAACTATGAAAAGCTCTATCAGCAAATAAAAAAAATGATATTAGAGCATGTTTTTACAAACTTTACACATAATAAATACATAAACATAAGCTAACCTGTCAATGATATCTCTGGTTTTTTCTTCTGCACCTTCACAGAGGGAATTGAACTAGTAAACTTTGTTATCATAGGGGTACAAACAATCAGGGTCCAATGATAACTCTAAAATACGAACCATGTTAATTATAATCCTATATTTATAACTTGTGTATCTCAAATACAATAATATACTTACTCGTCCACGTAAGGTGCAAAATATAATTTCTTTTTCGTCTGAGTCATTGTAGTCATCATGTAGATCAACCTTGCTTCCACAGTATTGAGTATTTTCTGTGCCTTTTGAGAACACATAAAGCCATATGTGCTCTCGAGTCCTCTCTGCCGACAAACTCGCGTAAAGTGCCTGTTGTTCAAATAAGAAACATTAGGATATGCATAAATATAACATGAAATAAGAAAATGATATTGTAACTTACCGAATAGCCAGCTGCATAAAGACTATATCCAGCTCCTCAAAGTTGAGGAACTGAATGAGGTCCTTCTTGTCAATAGTGAAGTCGTATGTTACATTTGAACCCACAATTCCTAGTGGCATCTTAAAAGTAAGGGGGTTCTCCATGTTTTCCACTGTGGAATGAAGAAGCGCCAAACTTCCATACATAACCCCAATGTGATCAACAAGAGGCTGCAGGACAGGATTTGTGCTCTTTGTCGCCTTCTTTGTTGCTATTGCTGCTCATCTCTATATCCAACCATCTCAAGATCAACCAAAACAAATCCAAATCTTCGTCTACTTGAACAACATTACTATTAACGCATTTACATTTGAAGACGGGAACTTTAAACTTGGTATAGCTAACCTCCTATATCTCTTCTATTACTCTATAATAGAACATTAACGCTAACATTGGGTTTTTATCTTTTGAACTAGCAAAATGCATAGCTTCAGCTACTACCATCACCCCATTATTCAGCATACTACTTTATCATCTTGGGTTCTGTGTAAAATGAATAATCATTTATGTCATATTTGCCCCAACACACAACCTCAGAAAGAGGACCTGCTATTAGCCTTTATATTATCTTAGGAGGTGTATGGCAACCCTCAAAAGTGCTTCTGAGAAGCACTTTTTGCAAAACGAGACAAACTCCTCGACGTATTTATTTCATAAACCATAAAAGCACTTTTGAAACCATGGTTTGGTTTCCATCCAAATATCCCCTTAGAAGCACTGCCATCCTTTAACACTTCTTGTTTAAACCACTCTACAAATGACTTGTTATGCTCATTAGTTAAGTGCATATCGTTCTTTCTTGGTTCAAGTTCTTCAGCATAATCTTATGAGTATCCAAATAAGGCAAAACTTCATCCGTGTTGTTTAAAATATATAGATGTGCTTGTATTACAACTTCACGAGACATAGACCTCATTATAACACCACATGTTCCCTTGCTTCTCCCCTGATTATGTTGAGATCGAGGAAGTCCAACTGCTTTTACCCTATCAAGATATGCGTTACAAAACTCAACTGCCTCCTCAGCTACACATCTCTCAACAATTGATGCCTCAAGCTAATAAGGATTTTTAGAGTACCCTTTTAGGATTTTCATGTATCTCTCAAATAGGTACATCTACCTTAAACACATAGGGCCACAACGTCTTATTTCTGGCACAAGTTGAGCTATCAAATGGACCATAATGTCAAAAAATGATGGAGAAAAGTGCATTTCTAATTGGGAGAGGATCATATAACCTTCATTTTCTAATTCATCTAACTTAGCAGGATTAATGACTTTGCTGCAAATAGCATTAAAAACATACAAAGTCTTGTAATAGTGCTTTTGACATTGTTTTTCATAATGCCTCGAATCGCAACTGGAAGTAATTGTTACATCAACACATGACAATTATGAGACTTCATCCCCGTTGTCTTCAAATCTTGTATTGAAATAAGTTTCCTCAAATTGGAAGAATAACCTTGCGGCACCTTAATGCTATTCAAAAAACCACAAAAACTTGTTTTCTTTTTCTTTGATAATGTGTGCACAGTTGAATGTAAATAAGTCCTCCTATCCTCTCTTTCTTGTGGGTGGAGGAGTTTTTTTATTCCAATTTTGACTAAGTCCTGTCTTGTATTGATTCTATCCTTAATCTTTCTACTTATGTGTAAAAATGTACCAACAAGGCTCTCACACACGTTTTTCTCTACATGTATCACATCTAGACTATGCCTCAGATCAAGAATTTGCTAATGTGGAAGGTTGAAAAAGATAGATCTTTTTTTCCATATATTCCTCTCACCAGAAGTCTTCTTCTTCTTTTTACCAAAGATCACATTAACT